ACGATAATATTAATGGTATTCGAGTGTTTGAAGCTGAAGAAGATGAAGAAAAATGATATTTGACTCACGCATATTCGGTTCCAAGAATACCTATATTCGGTTCTAAGCTTGTGAACAAAAACAAAGGAACTCATATTTGGTTCCAATGTTCCTCTATTCAATTCCCCATTATATAGGAAACTCGTATTTGATTCCCAAGTCATGTATTCGATTCCAAGATGTGAATCTCATGCATTAGACTTTTGTTTTTGTATGTTTTTTTAATATATTCATTTCTATCCTTTCAACTCGTAGATACTTTGCCTAGTTTTATCATTTTAAGCATTTTACTTGGTTGAGATGACTTTAATGTTAGTGTAATTAGTTACTCAATTAATGTTCTTTTTTTATCTTGTAGAGCAAGCATATGCTTACTCCTATGCTCATCAATTTTGTTTTCTTATTTCATTTTACTAAATTATAAATTTTTAATATTAATTTTAATAATTAATTTTAAGTTTTTTTCTTTATAGACATTTTTTCAATTAAATATATTATTAACAATTATCATTTTATATTACTTTAATAACTAGGGGTCTTTTAGTAATTTTCAATTTCTACTAATTAAACAATTTTTTTTATCTGTTACATCAATCAAATCTTACACTAAGTTTTACAAACTTTACCTTCAAATCCACTCTCACTGACCTCCAAATTCACTCAAATAAACAACAAAAAATTTACCCTCAAATCCATCTACCTACTCTCCCTCAAATCATCTCCTCCAAGTGAACAAAGCCTAAAAGTTTTATAAGAGAGGTGTTGCTATAGAGACATACCCTTTTACAAACGTCCTATAATATCTTAAAAGTCCTAAAAACCTCTCAACTAACCTTAAGGTTAGTAGAAATAGGCCATTGTGTAACTGCTTGTACCTTACCTTGCTTCATGGACACTCTACTACCCGAGACAATTTGACCCAGGTAGTTAACCTCTTGCACTCCAGGAAAAATATTTTGATAACTTAACAAACATTTGATGTTGTTGAAGTAGTTGCACAACTCCTTGTAAATGATCCATATGTATTGCAAGAAGTAGTGCTTTTAAAATGGATTGGAACAGTGAGTCAACTTAGATCACCACATATTCAAATTGAATTGGATTGGAAAAAAAATTGAAATTTTGATAGGGGTCAATTTTGAGCACGACCCACTAAAAACTCAATTCATTCGAATTGAACTCGTGGTGAGTGGGTTGGTTCACAAACCTACCCAATTTTTCTTTTTTTATGCTGCTTTAAGATTATATTTGTAGTTTATATTGATTTTGAATTGTATTGTATTTTTTCGAATTGCTTCAGACTTCAACATCATTTTGGACTAAAATTTATTAGAAAAAAATTGTTATTTTTTGGAATTAAAAAAAAACTTATAATTAAGTGAATCAACCCGATTAATTCACTAACTCTTGATAAACTGGGTCAAATTCAATTATTTTTTGTTGGTCAATAAGTGAGTCTAATTAGATTGACTCAACTTGTGACGGATGGAACCAAATGACCAATTTTAACTCACTACTAAAAAGAACTACAAACAAGAATATCATTGGAAAAAACAAGGACAAATTTCTTTAAGAGTCCTTTGAACACTTCATTCGTTAAACTTTGAAATGTTGTAGGGCTATTTGTAAGGCCAAATGACATAAAAGTCACTCATAATGACCTTGATGTGTTTTGAAGGCGGTTTTTTACCAATACACTAGTTTCATCAATATTTGACGATTACCCGATCTTAAGTCCACCTTTGAGAGGAATTGAGGACTAAATAGTTCATCTAAGTTCATCAATTATGGGATTAGAAAATTATGTCCTTAACTGTTATAACATTAAGGGCTTGGTAATCAGCACAAAATCTATGTGCTCCATCTTTCTTGTTGACAAGAATGATCTAAGAAGAGAAATGACTTGTGTTAGGGATGACAATCCCCTCATCTAACATGTTCTGGACCATTGTCTCAATTGTTTTTGACTGTGTTGATACTTGTAAGGTCTGACAATTTGTTTCTTTTGACTATGTTGGTACTTGTAAGGTCTGACTTTGACAGGTCTAGTACTAGTCAACAAAGGAATAGAGTGATCTTGTGATTGTGTAGGTGTAACCCATCAAGGATGGAAAAGACACCCTTAGTGTCCAACAAAATAGCCAACTTCAGTTCCTTAGTAGTGAGCAACTCTAACCAATGATCCTCAAGTATATCTTGATGTTGAATTAGAATCTCGTATTCTCTCCATAACACAATAACTATATATTAGATCCTGCTCACACATAATCCTTCATATGTGGATTGAATGTTTTAATTCTCCCGGTTACTCTATTTTTTTAGTTTTGGTAATCTATTTCTACCTAGTAATTAACTATTATATTTTCTGATTCTTCTATGTGTTTTTCATCATTTTTCCTTTTCCTAATTTTACTTGTAACATATAACAAAATACACATGGTATACTTTATGGATTTTATCTTATCCATATATTCACTAAATGACATGTTTATAATTTCTACTAACTCTTCTATGACAATGTAACACTGCTCAAACAACCTCTCAATATTTGTAACTATATTTTGAGGCTTATCTCCATCATTTCTAAATTATTTCATTTTTTTCTCAATTTTTTCAAATTTTCCGCTTCTGTCCTTTTTACCCATTTCTTCTATCATTCACGTATTAAATGCATCTAGTCTTAATGGACAAATTTATTCAGTCATTAGCAAAATAATACCAATTTCTTTAAGAAAATGATATACATTGAAACAAAAAGTCCAACCTAAGTTTAAAAGATAAAAAAAAAACTATACATTTTATGTAATATGAAACCATTTTATATAATAAAAAAATGAATATATATCTCTTTAATTTCTATAGTAATTATAAGTTTAGTGCATTTAGAAATTAAGTTTTTGTAACAAGTCTTGTTATGAATAAATTGTGCGTAGGACTTAATTTATAGAGTCACAAAGCAGCCTTACACAATATCACTCAAGAAAGTTTTAAATGATTAAAAAATGTTATGTGATTATCCAAATAGATTCATAATTTTTGGAATAGTTTATGTGATAATCGACTATCATTTATGGTAACTAATTATCACATAGATAAAACAATTTTTAGGAAAGTCTATGTGATAATCGATTATCATCTTCTAGTAATCGATTATCACATTGAGAAAAAGTTATGTAATAATTTATTATCTCTTAAAATAATTAATTATTATTTACAATTGTGGCTTGACTTTTAAGTTTATTGACCTAATTTTCAGAAGAGAGAGTCTATATATTTTGGCTAAGCCTAGTTTCTAAAACAAATTTTCATTCAAAGGTTTAGAGTTGTGATTGCCAAAGAAACTCTCTATGTTTCTTAAAAGAGGCTTTGTAAGACCTAGTGTGGGTAGAGCAATAACTTTTACTGTGTTCTTGAGTGATGTTCTTGCTAGGAAAAATTGTTCATCCTTTGTGTAACTCAAATGAGGTGTTTCATTCCTTGTGTGATTAAAGGAAAGTGTTGTTCATCTCTTATGTCTTCTAGAGAGGTGTTTTATAAACTTAAACTATCTTGTATATGATTTGTGATTGTAAGTTGTGGTTTATTTTAGTGATTGGTTAATCTTTCTTTAAAGAGATTAGTAACTAGACGTATGATCTTTTTAATCTGAATCAGTATAAAATTACTTGTGCAAATGTTTCTTTCCCTATACTCTTTATTTTTATTGTTATTATTTAAAAATAAATCAATTTTAATTGTAAAGTCAGATTTTAAAAAGGGAAAATTTTTTAAAAGCACAATTTTGTTTAAGAAACCAATTCACCCCTTATTGATTTTGTCAAAACATGATTATTCTGTTGTTCGGTTCTAACAAATGACATTATAGTTTGCTTTGATAGTCATTCAAAAGTTTCAAAACTAGTTGCATAAAATCAAACCTTTGTAGAAGGTGTGTCTCTTTTAACCGACCTCCTTTCTTTACTAGTGAAAATTATCCTTTCTGGAAAGTCATGATGCAAATCTTTTCAGAGTATGTTGATAGAGGTGTTTAAAATGTAATGTTAAAGAGTCCATTTCTGCCTACTGTAACTATAAATGATATTTGCAGGAATCAAAGCCCTTCTCACAATGGATTGTGGAGGAAAATAAAAGGGCTTTCATCTACTTTAACCCTTGATGAGTTTTACAACATATTTGTACACAAAAGTGCTTAAGAAATGTGGAAGATTTTACAAGTAACTCATGAAGGCATAAATAAGTTAAACATGTTCGAAAAAACTCGTTAATCTAAGAATATGAGATGTTCTAAATGTAATAAGGCGAAACTATCTATGGCGTGTAGAACCATTTCACACATATTGTCAATCAACTCTCTAGGTTAAGTAAAAATTTTGATATTCACAAAATTAATATAAAATTTTTGAAATCTTTGAATAGGTCTAAACAACCAAAGGTCACCATAATAACTTAATAACTTTTGTAAAGAGCATGTTATTACTCATAACTTTTATGCATTTAGAATTCTTTAACAAAATGAAGTCGTAGAAAGAAAAAATAGATGAAGTTACTGCAACTTTATTAAATGAATATAATGTTTTTAAATATTTTTATAATATTGTGATTACTATTTATTATGTTTTGAATAGGATGTTTATTAGATCAATTTTAAAAATTATTTCTAGTGAACTTTTTAAAGGAAGAAAATTCAATGTTTTTCCTTTAAGAATATTTGAATGTAAATGTTTTTGTTTTAAAAACAAATTTAAGAAAAATTGATTCTAAAAGGTGATGATTCTAAATGCAATGTGATGATGAAGAATATCTAAGCATTTCATGAGATGTATCTTAACGAGAATACTCTTTTGTCAACCTGAAGAACTTGAAAAAAAGTTAACCATCATTGTAAAGATTTTTATTAGACAACATAAAATACATCTCAAAGTAAGTAACCACTTGCAAATATTTTAAATTTTTTTTGTATAAATGTAGATTTTGTTTCGCGGATAGAGTCGAAAAACATTTCTTCCAAAAAAGTTTGCACCTTTCGCACATCATCATGGCCCCAAAACCGGAATCCGAAACCAGGTCGGGTCTGAGGAAGCGAAACGGAACAAGCATCTCCGAGTTGATTTCCGTGTTGCGCGACTCGTTCCTGACTAGCGACTTTGACCGAATCGAGAAGGTGTTATTGGCGCGGGAAGAGAGGCTGGAGGCAGAACTCGACGAGAAGGAGAGAGAAATTGGGGCCCTCAGAGAAAAAATGGCTATTGAGAGGTTGGGGAGGATCAATGCGGAGTTGGAACTGGAGAAGCTGAGGCAGAAGAAGGTGGTGAGGAGTGATAATGGGTTTGGTTTGGATTGTGAGATTGTTGTGAAGAGGAAAAAATGCAATGTTGATGGTGGTGGTGACGTGAAAGGTGGAAAAGTTAGAATTTTGGGAAAAAAGGAGAGAAGGGTTGCTGCGTTGGAGAGTGAGAAGGGGAGGAATGTTTGTGAGCAGAAGAAGGAAGTGGTTGGAATCAGTTTGAAGACAAAAGAAGGTGGTTTAGGTGCTTCAGGTATGGATATTTTTTTCCTGCTTTTTTTTCTTCCTAATTGGCCTATGTGATTGTGGTTATTTGAATGTTTGTTGAGATAAAAGAGGAATACAGTCTCAATTTGGTTTTAGAAGTAATGGGGCATTAAATTCTCTTTGTAACTCTACTATGGCCATTACTTTACCTAGCTTGGTCAATGCTCCAGCTATTGACTGATTTATCTTCAGTTTATATCTTTTGTAAATTCAGGTCCTACTTGGTGGTCATTTTTGTAATCACCTTATTAGTAGTTCATTCCTCTTGTTCATGTCATCCTTCTATGGATATGGCCATATGAAATGAGTGTGGAAAAACAAAGATTCATTATTATGTCAAAGAGGATTGTGCATATTTTCTCTTTCAGATGTTCTGCTCATGGTTTGATTACTGAAATTGTGGTTTTACATTTTCTAAGAGCTTTGAGAACTTGATCTCAGAACCTGCAACTGTTGTGGTTTTACTTTTGAGTCTGTTACCTTTATTTCTCTCTTCTCGTAGAGCTGGATTGTTTGTGTCGTATAAACCAAACAATTTCTTATCAAATCAAGTTTGTTGGATTTCCTACCATATTTATATCTAAATTTGAAGGAAGTATAGATCATCATCGCAATCACTTAAAACTTGAGAAAACCTTCCCATCAGACGAATCAATGTCACTTGAATTATGACTCCAACTTCAGGTGGGTTTATTTAAAAACCTCTATTTAAGCCTTTACATCTTAATTTTTAAATTTTAAATGGTAAGGAATACTAACTCTAATATTGAAATACTAGAAATTGAGAAATTGAATAGTTCACTCAAGAATATATTGTGTAAAATAAGTTGATCTTCAATTACTCATGGATCCAAATGCTGAATTTTCTATAAATACTGCCAAATTTTTAATTTTATACTGCACTTCATTTTCTAAGCTTCTGCATAAGGTGTTTTTTTGTTGATTAATATACTATTGTGTAGAACTAACATATCTCTCTGCTATGCCAGAAGTGGGGAAAATAGAAGATGTTATTATTATAGGAAGTGAAGAAGATGAAGCAACATTGGACAAGAAAGAGACTGGTAATGACCATCAAAGTTCAGCAGCAGCATTCCAAAAAAATCTTCTGACAGGATTGACTGCAAGCATTGGGAATCTGAAAAGGAAATTTGTTTCTTCGCCCAAATTGGATGCGAATGTCTTGAAGGGCTCGGATAGTGATGATTCCTCTTCTAGTTCAAGTTCCAGTTCTTCTAGTCCATTTGATATGGATAGTCTACCTCTTCCAAAGAATAAGAAAACTAGAACAGATGCAACAAGTCTTAGATTGAATTCATTACAAAGGTAAAGAGGCAGAACATAGATGTTAGGTAATATAGATCACATAATTGAGGGTGGGAAAAGGGAGAAGTGCCGTGGTGATGTTCGGGTTTTTCTTGTGGTATATGTGAGAAATTTTTTGGTCGATAAAGTTATCATTAGAGTAGTTTGTTTAAAGTTATAAAATTGAATATGTTTTGCATGGTGTGAATAATGGTAATATAGCAGTATACGAAATAACATGTTGCAGAGAATGAATAAGAGGGCGAAAAGTGCTTAGAACAAATGCAGAACGAATCCCAATGGAAAACCTAAGACCACAGTGGGTACAACCACAGTGGTTAGTTCAGTTTGACTTTCGGTCTGTGTGGTTTCGTCATCTCAGTACCAACCTTCCCGCGATCTATGCCTAGAAGTTTGAGAATGATGGACCGAACTTTTTCAAACTTCAACTCCTTGATGTTACATAATTGTTGTTCTAGAACTAAGAGGTGCAGTAACGATGATACATCATCTAGAGTCACTGATATCTCACTCACAAGAAGATGAAAATTGTTCGTCTTGAAGTGTCATCTTTCAACTAATGTCAACAATTATCCTTTATAATTCTTTATCTGTGTAGTCTTATGAAATGTCGAGAGGCATCAAACTGGAATTCAACACAAATTGTTGAATTCTCTCATCGTATAATCCTAATTTATTTAACTTTTTTTTGGGAGATCAACTTGATTTCCTCTTGATCTTACATAATAATATTTAATGCAAATTTTATTCAAACTAAACATTAAGCATTAAAATTAAAGTTTTCATTCACCTAGAATTGTCAAAAGGCATAAACAACAACAACACAATGCGTCACAACAACAACACAATGCGTCAGTAAGGAAAGATCTTGTGGACCTCCTTCAAATCTACCAACTTTCTCATCTATTTGATGAACGGCATTCCTTCAGCATACTCCTCAAGTGAAGGATCTTTTAAATTCATTCATTTTCAAAGTTGATGTTATAGGTCTTCTCTTAACTTCATCTTATGAAGAACTCTTTACCCAATAACTATATACACCTCGTATTCTTGTCATTTCGGTCAAAATATAATTTATTAAATATAGCATAATTAAAAAGTTAAACAACATAATAAATAAACAAAATTATAAACATATCCAAAACTAAACAATATTTAATTAAAATAAAATTATATTAAATAATTTATAAAGCTATCTAAATACTAAACAAAAAATTAAAAACAATTTAAACTCAATAAATTATATCCTTATTAAAAACTATAAAATATAAATTAAATAAATATTAAGTTATATAAACTACAAACCTATCCAAAAACTGCTAAAAAGGTAATTAAAAAAATTTAATTACAACAAACAAATTTAAAGAAAAATCGACAAATTTATTTTAAAACAATTAAACTCAATAAATTATAAACCTATCTAAAACATAAAAAAATATTCATTTAAATAAAATTTAATTATATAAATTACAAAACTATTGAAAAGGCAACAAAATTATTTAAAATAATTTTAATTACAAATTTATTATATTAAATATAAATTAAAAAATTAATTCAAAAAATTATTATTTTATAAATTATTAACCTATCCAAAAATTAATTATATAAATTACAAACATCCAAAAACACAAAAAATATTTACATAACAATTAATTAAAAACATATTAAATAAACTAAAAAGTAAAAAAATGAAAAAAAAAACATTGAAACTTTCAACATATTTGTAAAATCGTTCAAGGTTTTAATAAATTTGAAAAACCGTTCAAAGTTTCAACGAATTTAAAAAATCATTAAAATCGCTAAAGTCTTGAACAAATTTTGAAAATCATTAAAGTCTTTAACGAATTTCGAAATCTGTTGAATGCGGATTTTTAAATCCATTGAAGACTTCAATGATTTTTTAAATTTGTTGAAGTCTTCAACGTTTTCAAATGCAAAATGTTTAAATCTGTTGAGATTGGTATCGTGCAACGAAATGTTTAAAAGCGTGAAAACAGTCAATAACCAAGAGGGGATGGGTGAATTGATTCTTTTAAAAGTTATGAGTTTTAAAATTTGAAAATTAAATATGAGAAGACATTATATGAAGAAGTTATTTTAAGGAACAAAATTTGTTATTTAGAAATGAAAGAAATTACAAATGTTGAACATCCTGTCGAATGCCTTTCATGAAAGTGTTACATGTTTGATATTGATATTTTTGAGAACTTGCTTAAAGAGGTAACTAAAAATAAAAATATTGAAAATCCAAATTTTAATAAAAAGGACTTTCATAAAAGTAAGCAAGCTCTTAAGAATAAGAAAACTCGTAGGGTATGGGTTGAAAAAGGAGTTGTCTGTTATAGAAATTCAAATGTAGTCCACATGTTTTTATTGTATGAAAAAGGGACACACTTCAAACAAATGTAGAATAAAACATTATGGTGTTCCAAATGGGAGATATGCTTGGATTCCTACTACAAAGTAATCTTCCTCTAATCTCAATGGACCCAATTAAGATTTTGGGGACCAAAACTCTATTGTTTTGTTTTGCAGGTTACATTTTCAACATAAAAATAAGGCTCTATGGTATCCTGGTAAATTTTAAAAGCTTTGAAATAATTTATGAATGTTAGATATGTCTTAGAATTGAAATTTGAATCAAATTTGTGTTTTTTTGTAAATCATCGTGTAATAATCGATTATAGGAAAGTCATAATTGATTATCTTTGGTCCAAGAAACATTTTTTGATTCGCAAATAATCGATTATTGTAGGACATAATCGATTATCTCGTGAGTTTTTAAGAATATGGGTTTTCATATAGTCATATTATTAGTGCTTTTCTAGGAAATTTTTTTGAAGCGATAATTGATTATCGTTAGTGATAATCAATTATCAGTCGACGTTATTTCAAAAATTAGTCGTTGTAACGGTTCAAAACGGCTATACACGACTAGTTTTTGAGCTTTCCTCTATAAATATTGACCCATAATTGATTAAAACCCACATTTGCACCCAAACTTTGTCCAAATCAAGATCTACCAAGCTTTTCTCTCTCATTCTCCTTACACTCTTCTCTTTCCAACTCCTTACTCTTCAACTCCATGGTTGATGCAAGACGGAAAATGCCTACCCATAGAAGAACTGAAGGTTCTTCTTCTTTTCTTCCTTGTGCCACTCGACCTGCAACACTTGAAGGATGGTTATCTGATCCAGAGAAGCAAGTCAAATTTTCTCATTTCTAGTAGGACAAGAAAATCATGTCATGCAAATATGTCAGATTGGGATATTACCGATTTTATGGTTTTCAATTTCCCAACCTATTTGAAGATCAAGGTTTGCAACACTTTGTTGAGTAGAAAGACTGCATTTATCCTGATCTTATAAAAGTTTTCTACTACAATCTTCGAACTCGTGATGGCGTAGCAACCACCAAAGTCAAAGGGGTCTATATCACACTTGATGATGATATCTAGACAAATGTGACCATGATGACCATGATGACCATCAGAGATGACGTTGTCAAAGTTCATCTAGGCATTGAAGGTTTCAATCATCTTCTCGCGTTTCAATCTTTTCTTCGAAATCCACAACAGCAACGGGGCGCTGACAACTTTTGGTGGGAGGATTTAACGTGGATGAAAGATTGATCCACTACTTGATAGTATGGGTTCTCTGGCCTTGTGCCACAAATCATGCCTAATGTTTTGAACAAGATCTTCTCATCATCTATGATCTTTTAAATCATATTCACATTGATTGGCCTTCTCTTATCATTGACACCATGTTGAAGGTACAAAAGTATCCAGCCTACCATCTTCCCTATGCCCCCCTTGTATCTCGTATCATTGAATACAAATGAGTAAATGTCAAAGGCGAAAATACTCATGTTATTCAAGCTGTGGGCTCGGAAATTGAAGAAACCACGTTGCGCCAAATGGGATTTGTGGCTCATAGTAATATTTTTCTCCAGAATGAAGCTGATCAATATGATGTAGATGAAGATATTGATGCTCACATGGTAGAACCAGTAAATGAAGTTGATATATCTGCAGTCAGTCCTTAATCCATTCCTTCGTCCTCATCTTTCTCCATTGAAAAGCATCTTGCCAATCTCTGAAGGCAAATGGATGAGATGAGTATGCTTCATCAAACAATGCATGAAGAACTCTTTGATATGCATCAATCTCATTACAACTATATTATTGAGCATTTTGAAGATTTTGATGTTAAGCTAGGAAACATTGAGGATTGTCTCAACTTTCAACCTCCTGATCAACCACCTAGTCCTACTTTTTAAATTTATATGTCTTTGTGTTTGAATGCTTGTTTTCTTGTATTTCCTATTTTATGATGTACCTGACTTTGCTTTTATGAAATCTAAAATTTTATTATCTTTGGTTTGCATCTTTATTTTATTGAGGGGAGCAAAATTTGAGGGGGAGTCTTTCCTTCTTCTGACCTTTTTGTTTATGATCAAAAAGGGAGAGAAACATTATAATAAGTGTGGTTATTGTTTAAAGCTACTAACATCTTTATGCTATTTGTAAGTATAAGACTATCTAGATAAACAAAAATGTTTTTAACAAAGAGAATTTTTTATCATCATAAAAAAGGGGAACATTGTTACCAACGAGGAGCATTGATGCCTTGAAGTTATTTTGATGATGATACACTTGAGGACTTGAAGATTCTATATTGTATGTTAAAAGCATTCATTGTAGAAATCATTGTATAAGAATCGTTTTGCAATTGTAAAAACACTTAGAAGTTTCATAAATTAGTGATTCATTACAACAATAATCGATTATCACAGGAGATAATCGATCATCACAAGCCAAAAAAGAAAAGGATTTGTCGTTGCAATAATCGATTATCACAAGGGATAATTGATTATCACTACAAGTTTAATATTGTCTAAGATTCGGCAATAATATATTATCACTGGAAGTAGGGATCCGTCTTTCTAGTTATTGACCCTTGGCCTATATATACATTATTCCTAAAACTTGAAGAGGAAAACTAAACTACTTGAGAGCACAAATCAGTTCTGAGGAAGTTCTCTAAGTTTAAGTGTGAGTTCCATCAAGTCTTGTTAAAAGGAGAAGCTTGTGCTCAGTGTGTCTAAGGTCTAAGCGGTTCTCTTCAAGTTGATTAAGCTAGTTTCTTTCCATCGTGTGTCGAAGGAAGGTGTTTTTTGTTCTTAATCTTTGCATTATTATGATTGTAATATGAAACTAAATTATAGTGAAAAGGTTAATCACTATTTATAGTGATTAACTTCTAGACGTAGAATTTGTTGATTCGAATCAGGATAAAAATCCTTTGTGTAATTTTCTCTATCCTTATACTTTTTGTTTACAAACTGTTCGAT